TAATAAATTTATATAGAAAAATGTAAAAGTAAGTATTAAATAATATAAATTTTATCTTTTAATATTTTAAATAATACAATTTATATTATATTATTGATTTCATATTTTAATATCAAATTTTAATTTTATTTATTATTATTGTTTTGTTAAACTTTCACCTAATATTTTATTAATTTATGATATTTCTAAATAATTATTTACACTATCTAAAAATATTTGCTTGTAATTAATTTTATTATATTAAGTAATAAATATTAATTATTTTATTAATTATTATTAATTATCAATTTGATGCATATTAAATATATATTTATTATACTTTTTATCATTAATTTACATAAGAAAAATTAAGAGTTAACATTAATTTTATCAATTATCTAACTAAAAAGCATACATATGATGTCTATTTTTTAATTTTTCTACATAAATTTATTTCTAAAAATATATTTATTGTACCTTAAAAATATAAATTACTCAAATTTATAATTAAATTATTAATATATCAATTACAACTGTATGATCTTAATGAAAATGTGTGTAGCCATGTCCACAGGGGTTAGGCTTTCTAAAATTGAAAAGTAAAAACTTTTAGAACAGATAATTCTTTTTTCTTTTTTCTTTTTTTTAACTTTAGTAATTACAGGGGAAAGGGGTGGAGGATTTTACAAGGTATGGCTGAGGCTTGAGCCTCTCCTCCTTTGATGTTCACCCGCAGGCAAAATGCCACTTGCTCTGTAAGTGGGGAACAATGGAAGTGTACCTTAAAAAAATGCAAATGAAATTGTTAACAGAATTTACTTCTTTGCCACCTACAAAAGCAACGTTGTAATCTACTTTTTTTGACTTTTTTTTCAAAATAAAAATTTGAGAATATTATTTGTATTTATTTATAATATTTAAAAAAAATAGATGAAGAGAGACTTTTTTTATTGAATGATTAAATGAAATAAATAATTATAAAATTAAAGTATAAAAAATATTTATTTATTTTGAAAAATAAAATAATAATTAATTTAAAATAAATTAAAAATTAACCGTTATTATGGATAGAGAAAGTAAAACAAAAGCTCTCTATTTACCCAAATATAAAAAAACTAATAAAAATGTGTTATTATGGCAAATGCTCTTCTAGCAACTTACTGCTATGTGCTAACCATCCTTTGTTTTCTCATTTTTTACAGAGTAGGAAAATCTTACCGGAAATCCCTTATGCGTAGAGGTGGTAAAAATCTACTCGACTTATTAATCTGACCTCGACTCATCAACCCGTAAAAATGGATTAGTGTTTACATATTTTAACCTACAATTCATAAATAACTTATAATATTAACTTGTACGGGTCACGAGTCGGGTTATGATCAACCTACGAGTTGACGGATTGATCTGTTTGTTTTTTTTATTATTATTTTTAAAAATATTATACTTATTGTTCTTAGTTAATTTTTTTATTGGTAAGTCTCTTTGTTAATTCATACTCTTTAACCTCGTTTTCATTACTCAAATGATTTTGAACTTATTTTGAGTGTTTATTGATTATAATTTCTTTTTATTTCTCGAGAAATTATGTAAGTTTGATTTTAATTACCAAGTATCATGAATTAAATGATAATGCAACTAAAATTATTAAATATGTGACGCTAGAATATAAACATAATAATTTAGTGAAAGAAGTTCTTAGAAAAGCAATTTCATCATAAAAAAAGGCATAAACTCTTTGATAATATTTTAAGATAATTGTAAAATTCAAATTTTATTTTCCAAGAAATTTAAATATTTTAAGTTTAATATTATTAATTAATTTACTATTATTTATAACTTCATGATTTTTTTAATATAAATGTTTGTGGTTAAGATTATAAAATGCTCAGTATTAATGAATTATAATGTTTTAATTATATTTAAATATATATAATTTTATTTATACATAATAAAATTAATAAAAATAATTATAAAGGACGAAAAAAAAAAAAAACCCGCAGATTAACTTTTAATTTGTTAAAATCAAATTAAGATTAAACTTTTTTAATCTATAATTCATTTATGACCAAACTCATATAACTCATTATCTGAATTGATCCAATCCAAACCCAAACCCAACCCGCCCTATTTGCAATGCCTACTCGTGTGTTATCCGCAACACATTTATCGGGAGGACAAGATGTGTGCTTATAGGCTTGCTCTATGGGTCGCTCTCAATGTTGATTTTATTTGCTAAATTGCAATGATGTCTCTCTCAAATTCCCAGCAACTAGTGCATATTTCTTTGTTATTGCTAATACATTTCTTTGATTTAAAAAAATTAAAAAAAATTATAATTTGAATTATAGTGCTACAAGACATTAATTATCAAATTTTTTTAATCATCAAATTTTTTATATAAACACTAAACATCATAATTATAAAAGACTTTTTTATTTAAAGGGACATGTTATTTAATGAAAATATAATATTTTATAATTTAATATAATTTGAATTATTAAATATAAAATTATAACTAAAAATAAAGTTCTATTGTATTTTACTCTTTTTCTCTCAAATAAATTA